CTATGTGAGGACAAGTAGTCGAGTGTTAGTCGAGTGTTGTTTTGTAAATAGTGAATGTAGTGGTATAGCTAGTGCGTGTGGAGGGAACCGTACGGAAGAGCCCTCACGAGGGGAGTGACGGTCGGTTGTATAATATATAAATAAATATTCATTTAAGACATGCCAGAGAATTTTAATTATACCTTTCGCACTTCACACTCCAGATAAGAAGAAAGACAGCAAAGAAACTTCTGCAGAAGAAGAAAAAAGCAACACCGTGCGATCACCGGTTTCACCACCACCACCACCAGAGATTATAGATTGTCCTGCTCCAGATGTCGTCAGATTACCAGTCCCTTCATCCGCGCTACCCAGGTCACCACGTGTGCTGTACCACCACATGACCGCTGAAGAAAGAATGAATGAATTGAGGCACGAAATCAGTAGAAAGGCACAGGAACGAAAAGAAGCCAGGCCTCGATCCTGTTCTGATATCCTTCAGCCACAGTCCCTCAAGGACATTAAAAATGATGCGTTTGATCTTAGGACAACAGCAACCACTCGGCCACAGTCTTGGTCACATAATCAGTTCCCATCAACAACTGCGCAAGGGATTCCTTGTGGATATCGATCAACATCGAGTCTGTCTGAACGTTCATTCGACTCGAGGAACTCTACTTGTTCAAGTCCACCAAATTCGTGGTCTCCGATGCTCTACCGAAGCAGTAGCCCACATAACTACTCTTCCGATAAATCATCCGACGTGTCATCGATTAATTTGTCGGATACTTGTTCGGTCAGTTCGGGAGATTCGGATTCGCTTCATTCTGGGGTTCGGAGTCCTTCGTCTAAGAATGAGAGGGGATTTAATATTCCAAGACCGCACAGTGCGCTGGAAAACTATAGTGGTGGATCTAGTCCTTCGCAAACTCCACGTAGATTCCCTGTCAATCCTCTTTCAAACGTCACTTATTGGGTCGTTGACACGGGGAAAAAACCGCTAGAGGTGCACCAAGGGTTACAAGAGACGAACCTTGATGAGGCAATTCGAAGAAGGCCTAGTAATGACGGATCAGCACATGCGCAAACGCATTGGAATGGACAGACCAAGCTTTTACCAGCTGCTGTGGTCAACGTGCGCACTGGTGTAAACACTCTTTGATCACTGTATATCTTATTCTGAAAATCTGGTGAAGAACGTACTGATGACATTTGTTACTGTAGATAAGTGAAGTGAAATGAGCTGCGCGACTTTCAGGGATTTTATATTATGTTCATGGAGTTCGTTGGATTGACAGCTATCAATCACGGACAACAGATTCTAAGGATTAGACGATTCAGACTGTTATATTGAGTCAGTACATATTGGATTTATTCTAACATAAGCAACATTCTTGGGGTGCATGTTACGTCATAGCCGCCATGTTGGTTGACTACACAAAGCATTCTTAAATAAGCTTCTCTTGTTAGAATAGTCATACTGGACAGCTAAACAACATCAAATCAACTGTTCCTCAATGAATAATTTTTTTCTGAACAGAACGGGAACTTTAATGTACTTATGGAGAATTATAGCTGTGACTTTATTCCCGGCCAGCATGGCGCATTCCTTGTGAAACTTCAACCGTACGCTTCGGATTTTCGCTTGCGCTCGCCAGGAGTGGGTGTACGATGAATGATACATGTCGCGGCCGGCACTGAACTCATTCACAACAAGCTCGCTTTTTATTGAGAGCAATGAACTACGAGGAAAACCTCAACAGTAAGAGTGGGTCAGTATATACTTTTATTTGAGCCTGCGGGAGAGGACTTGGCCTCACGAAAGTCCAGTACAATACCTGGACAACCACTGAGAATCAATTAGCTTTTCAAATTCTATAAAAAATATCGAAATCCTGTAAAAAAAAGTTCCGAAATCCTGAAAAAAATACAATCTCTGGGCTGAGGGCTGATCTAAGTCAGAGCGCGGCTAATAACTAATAGGTTGTGGAATGCGTGCATAAAGATAGTATAACAAAATTAAATCACATACGAATTCGTTGGTAATGTTTTAAATTATCGTACTAGCGCTAGTTGGTGGCGGTTTACAAACATTACCATTCTGATGTTAATTTGCCAACCATTATCACAATAGTTTTTGCCAAGTTGCTTTGTTGTTTCATCAGTGAATCAATCTCTGGTTGGCATGGTAATGACAATAGCTTACGTCACAGCAACTAGCACTATATAGAGGTTTTGCACCATCACGTGATGGCGGCCATGTTTAGATGGCAGAACAATAAAATCTCTTTACTCTAAGGGAGTTGAATTCGTTCACGTGTAAAATGATTGCATTGTTTATGTCGTCCAACATGGCTGAGGTCAAGCGATGGTGCAAAACCTCTCATATGTAATTCTTTATTGCAATAATGGATGCCAATGGATAGTTTTACAAATGCCTTAATTTTTCTAATGGTCTATGAATGGTTTGTATATATTGTATACTAATTCATTCGTTGGGTTGTATTAGACAAGAACAATCCACAATACACCATATTGGACTGTTCTGTTTGTAGAAATATTTCAGTTTAAAGAATGTTATGAAAAGAAGTCCAAAAAAACAGTAGAGTGCAAACACTTTCAACTCGATAGAGTGAAGTCACTAAACCCGTAATATAGTACAGAATAATACAATACCTATTGTTACCTATTGTTTAATCAGTGCTAATTAAGTACTACATGAAATAGTACCAGTACTATTCAATGGTATAGTGTTTGCACTCTAGCTGATGACACAAGATAATATATATATATATTCCATATATTTTTCCAGTATTTTTACAAAGTTTTTTGATCGATATTGTAATGACAAGGCCCAAAGTGTGCTGCACTGTAATAAAATATAATCAAAAACAAAATTATTTTCAAGACCACATAGAATAAATAAATAGCCTGTGTGAGAGAAATTAGTTACAAATCATGCAATAGACCTATCCCGAATTCACTTGACTGACCACGAAACAATGGTTTGAAGTCGAGATTAAACTTGATTATTTTGTTCATCAAGTTCAACCTCGACTTCAAACCATTGTTTTGTGACCAGTGAAGTGAATTCGGGAAAGGTCTATTGTTTCAAGTTAAGCTGTTTAAAAAAAAAACCAGACTTTAAAAATAATTTTCGGGTCGATCATTTGATGTTTTTCCGAGTGTTACCTTCTATTGTCGACAATGTAGTAAAGTGCAGCACATTTTCACTCGGCGTAATTACAAAATTTGAAAATTATCCCTCCCCTCCCCTCCCTTTATACACAGGGCTATATATATTTTCTCTATCTATGCCTATAATTAAATTGAATCAAAGACATATAGTGTTTTAGCATAGTTTGTTCTAATAGCTATTGTATTATAGGGTCGATTAAAATGATATGAAAAATGTTATTAAAGATTGTTTCAATATATAGTTTGTGTGTGTCTTATATTACTATATTTGAGTATTGAGCTAAAGATCTAGAAGTGTCAGAGGCCTGTGAAGAGTTTGGGGATCGAGGAATGGATCGAGGAGGCCGGAATGCCGCTAGCCTTGATTAGCCTTAGCCTCTCTCCTCCCTTCTCCCCAAGCCCCTCACGGGCCTCTGGTATCCAGGGTACAAGAGAGCGCAAATAAAAGCGTAAGGTTGAAGGTAGAAACGAGATTATTAATTTAAAAATACTTCTATGCCTATTTGTGGCAGGGGAGGTGAGAGATGAGATAAAATAAGACTCAGAATCTAATTAATTCAGGGAAGGATATGGTCTGAAACTGAGAAAACAGAGAAAAACAAACGCACATACGTTTTTATCAATTTATAAATCAGTTTATCCATACTCCCTCGTTTGATGCTGGAGAAGAAAGGGAGTCAAGGACCTAATGCGTTACGAGGGGCCATTTTATCAATATTTGTCTCCTCATGAGCAACCGTAGAACAAGGAAATGATACGCTAGAGAATGGACACGTGTTCTGATATGGGAGAACATTACGCCCAAGGTATAGGGGGTCCATTTCTAGAGAATGGAGACGTGTTCTGATATGGGAGAACATTACGCCCAAGGAAAAGAGGTCCATTTCTAGAGAATGGAAACGTGTTCTGATATGGGAGAACATTACGCCCAACGTAAAGGGGTCCATTTCTAGAGAATGGAGACGTGTTCTGCATGATATGGGAGAACATTACGCCCAACGTAAAGGGGGTCCATTTCTAGAGAATGGACACGTGCTCTGATATGGGAGAACATTACGCCCGACGTAAAGGGGTCCATTTCTAGAGAATGGAGACGTGTTCTGATATGGGAGAACATTACGCCCAAGGTATAGGGGGTCCATTTCTAGAGAATGGACACGTGCTCTGATATGGGAGAACATTACGCCCAAGGTAAAGAGGACTATTTCTGTTAGTCTAAAATACACTTTATTTAATACGATTTAATGTCGATAAAATGACGTTTTACAATATTAGCTCTGAATTTAAGCGATTTGAAAGCATTGCTAAGGGCAAAAGAGCAGGATACTGAAAGGGGAACGAGTACGAAAATCGTCCGCAATTTAATTCGGCTAGAACTTCAATGGAATAATCTTTAAGGTTCTATGGCTCGGATATATTGACCACGAAATACAAATAGTGCACAAAAGGGTTTCTACTCTCGAATATCGTGCTGGGGGTACCAAGTGTGAACCTGGTCTCATAGAGTAAAGGCATTTAACCCTGTATTACGGTTATGAAAAACACTATAAAAATGTTAGTCAACAAGTAATAGTCAAATAGACACAAAAGAAAACGATGGACTAGGGTCTACTAAAGTGTTTTAGTCTAATATTTATTTCACGGATTTAGTGACTTCAGAACAACTCATGGCACACCGTTTATAGACTGTTATACAATAACTGTAATAAATCTCGTTTTCTGATTGGTTGAGTGCGTGCTTTATGAAAGCACATACCTCGCTAGTGTCCTTCGCAGCCGTCATTAGTTTCGTTCTCAGCCGATCCAATTCTTTATCTATTTCTGTTTTTTTGTTCTTGTATGTTATATATAAAATGGAAGATTGTAACTGAAGTTTACACCAACTTGCAAGAACGTTGTCATACGAAAATAGAACATTATTGATTTAGTGGGATAGGAATTATATTAAAAAACAAAAGAAGATCACTGAAGCTGAACTTTKTCTTTTGTCTTTTAATATATTTCTTTCTCACTAAATTACTACTGTTCTAATATCGCATGACAACGTTCTTGCCAGTAGGTGCATATATATATGTATATATATGATTCGGTCCCGGGCAATATTAATAACGGCTGCGAAGAAGAATATACCTAATAGCTCTCATGCGCACTTTCAACTTCCAAATTATAAAAGTACTGTTATATAAATCTTGTTTTCTGATTGGTTAATGGCGTGTGCTTCATAAGAGTACACAGCACGCATGCGCGTTTTCTATTTCATGATGTTGCAGTCAAGAAATTGCTTCACAAGAAAACGGAAGCAAGTCCTTTTCATCGTTTTGATGTATTATATTTTAAGATCACACACATTAGAGTAAATAAGAAAAAATAATATTCACACTAAATGTTATCTATTTACAACTTTCAAGTTACTCCAGACGAAAGCATTTCAATTTTCCTTTCTTGGTTTCGCCCATGCCAACTCTTTACTATAATAGATTATGTGTTCGTTTCTCTTTCCTCTAATCTATTACAATGACAGCGCCTGGCTTTCTGAAGTACGAGAGTCATAAGCACGATCGTCCGAACTAGCCTGAGTATCAGGCCCCGGGGGAGGGTGAGTGGGGATGGGAAGGAGAGCCTGATGTACTCAGGTTACGTTCGAACTGGACCCCCCGACACACAGACTAATGTTAACGCGCACTTCATACTAGCAGATGATTAAAAGTATATCAAAAGGGAGTTGTTTGAGCTGGTTTTCGCTCCAAGATTCAACAATGCGTTGCATAGACTGGTTGACCACTAAACAGTAAGACCAGGAAGAGATTGCAAGGGGGACAAATTCCTGGAATTAAAATTACCAAATATATCGCAGCCAGGGAATACATTAGGCCAGGGGTTGGTTGGCTTGACCAAAATGTCGATTAATGATGTTTTTGAGCATCCTGTTAGGAGTAAGGGTGGCGTTCCTGAGAGGGGCGTTGGTCATGGGGCTGGTAAGTCGTCCTGACCGTAACCATAACTCGATGGCGTTACGATCGTAGGAGTAACCATCTGGAAGAGATAAAATAGAGGACCTTATTATAGAGTTCTCATTGAAATGATACAACAGCAGAAGAAATGAAGCCAAAGACATTTAAGGGGCTGACCCAGGATGTTTTAGGAGGGGCGCACGATTTATGATCAGGACAAACCGATGAGTCATCACATCAAGTAATTCTCCATAAAAAGTGCACACCCCCTGTACCCCCCCCCCTCTCAAGATGCGCCCCTGCATTTTGAAAACAATGTATGACTTGAAAAATCAAAGGTAGTCTCATTTGTTCAGTACTTTCAAAAATAACCCTTATCAGTCACAAGAAAAACCCTCACAGAAACAACACAGCACAGGCTACCTGTGATTTAGCTAACATCTTAATATTAGTGAGCGAGCAAATGACCCATTTGCATATTCAGACCCCTCTGGATGGGGTCGTGTCTTTACTCCATTACCACATTCAGTAATAGAACTTTTTGGTTTGGGTGTAATGTTTTCCCATTTCACGGGTACGGTCATTTCCTAGAGCATCATTTATTTGTCTAATGGTTGCACATGAGAAGACAAACGAATATGGATATGACTCAAGCAAAGAATCTCATTCTCAAGAAAATGACACAGTCTGAAACATGAAAACATTGCATCCAAGGTAAAGAGGTCCATTACTGCACATGACTCTCGAATATTGAATCTAGTAGTGGTGAGCAAAAGTGGGCCTTTGGAAACCAGTATTTATACTTAGTTTATCACAAGAAAGGGATTTTATTTTACTTTTTCTCTTATTGTTATTTTTTTGTGTGGATTTGATAAGACTAACCTGCTGCTATAACAGGATCTGTCATCACTTCTCTGGATATTGGACAGAGATACTCATCAGGAATATTGTCATCTATTTCTTCTTTCTTAATGTCGTTGATGCTTCGGAGAATTTTATTACGATGTCCAACAGGACCTAAATAATTACAAGAACTGTAGGTTAGGTAATGAAACAACAAAATGAATCTTATTTCAATACCGTATATTCATTCTCTGTAATTTAGCACACAGGAAGCCCACCATCGAGAATTGTGAATGAAGTCTAAGTGTAGCTAAAGAGGGCAAAGCAAGAAGTAAATCATTGGGATCCTAAATAGAAAAATAAATAGCTAAGTATGAAAAGTGGGCGGCTACTCGCTTTCACGGCTTTGCTGCTCTCAGTAAATCTATGAAAAAAATCCCTCTGGGGAAAAAGTCATACCAATTTTGATGTCATTTAAAAGCATTTCAGAAGTCATGTTTGATAATTCTGCTCCATCGATGGCATTTTCCCTGAAGCATTCACCATACTGCTCTAACCCAATGGTCTCCAGCCAACTACACACTTCATCAACTGTCCATAAAGCAAGCAGCTTCTTTTTGGGTTTTTCCTGGGAGGGAAAAAACATTTCACATATGTAAGGGTCAACTGTGAAACTGTCAACTGAGCTGATTATTAGTCCTTGACTTTATCTATTCATATATTTTATGCATTGGCTGTGTACTCAAATGAAGAAATAGAAAGTGAGCATAGTGTGCTGTGTGCAATCATATAACACATGTGCTCCACCAATCAGAAAGTGATTTTTCTTATAAGAGTTCTTTTATAATCATTGTCAGCTGATTCCTATCAAGCTGTCAATTTGTTATGAACCAACTTTACATAGATGCAACCTTTCTATTTGAACACTCCCTTATCATAACTGAATATCAATCAAAAGACCTCTTTGATTCAGTAGCAGGGAGGGAGAGGTACTCCCTAGTAACCTCTAGAAATCATCCCTCCTCTTCCCCTCCCCTCTCCTCCCCCCAAAACAAAAACCCACATACAATTATTAAAAATTAAACAGCCAATGGGAAGGTAACACATGCCATAAAACAGTCCTGGATACCTACAGAGAGTAAGTATACTGCAATTGGAATAATGATGTCAAATGTAGAACTTAAAATGAATAAATAAAATGACATGACTCACCAAAGGCATGGTTTGGGAATCATCCTTTCTCTCCAATATGATGGCATTAGTATCAAGGTCGCCTGAAGAAAAATACAGATACATGTATTCAACATACTTCACAGTCACTGTTTCAAACAGTGACCAGCTGATCTGAGAGAACATGTTAGCCAATCAGAATTGAGAAAATTTGCAAAATTGATGTGTCACTTTTTCTCATGAAATTATTGATTTCCAGGCCACCAAATGAAATTATGTTGGAAATAAGAGGATGTTAACAGTAACACAATAACTAAGGAGGTTCATATTTTTATTGCAATGTTGGACAGGTTTTTATTTTTCACTGGTCAATTTTCGCAGGCTTCACGACAACTCAGTTTTGCAGTGACGTCATTTCAGATAAGCTGAGGTTTAGTCAAGGCTTTGCTAGCCACATATTGATTTCTTGAATTAGGGAAGCTATAAAAAATACACATTTTGATAGAAGTAAAAAGTAATTAGTTAAGCACCAGTTCAATACCAACCTCGTTCTGTAAGGGTTATTTGCCACACTCTCATAGTTCTGTCCCCCGACCCTGTTGCTAACCATCTACTATCAGGTGAGAAGGCACAACATGTCACATACCTAAAATAGTAAGTTGACAAATTTAATTGATCATAAATTGTAATAGGTCATTCGTACTGCAGTCGGTTTCACATTACTTGTCTTTACACCTTTGGGCTTCGAACGCCGTTTGGCAACAAATTTTGGAAGTTTGAAACTAATTTCATTATGAACTTCAGAACTTCCCCCCCAAGTTTGGAATTTGGTTTTATATATATAATTTGAAGTTCCCCAATAAATATCCTAAAGGAAATCAAGAAGCTCCTGGTTAAAAATCAAGTTTGTTTTAGCTGCAAAATAAGCCACCCAAGTTCTGAACTTTGGTGGAAAGTTCAGAAGCTCATAACAAATTTCATTCTGAAGTTCCAAAGTTGGTTGCCAATTTTGGAATTTTCAAACATAGTTTGGAATGCGAAAAAAAGTAATATAAAGTAATGTGAAGCTGTCTGTAACAGATCCCATAACATTACTCCTTAAAACAAGGAAATTTGTCAAAATAAACATCAAAAATGAAAGAAACACCATGATATTAGTAAGAGGCTAGAATTTCAGCTCATAACATGTGACAAATGAGAAATGGTACTGAATATAAAATCAAATATTTTATCAGGTTTTGTATAGGAAAATGCACTGGATTGCATTTAGTAGGTCTGGAGTTGGGCTTTGCAGAGGGAGGAGTTTCCGTTCTCTGGTGAAGGAATAAGCAAATGAATGTCTAGAACTTACCTTGTGTGTCCAGTGATAGTATGCAATGTTACTGCCCTAAGCTGTTGAAAACAGAGGAAAATTAATAAGCAATTATTGGACGAGGTTGAGCAAAACACTCATTGTGATTTGTTATTTGCTGATGCCGAAAGCAGAGGCAAATAATTGCTTGTGAGACACTAACAGATCACGATAATTTGTGAGTTCAATAATTGTTTCATAATTCAAAATATTTGTTTTTCATTTTTGATTTTGGCTTGCTATCTATCAAACATACCAAGCCACAGGAGAGCAAGCCATGTTGACAAATGCATAGTTACCGTGCAGTAGCAGAGTGTTATGTGCAGCAAAAACGGCTTGCATCATAATGCACGTGAACAAAATATCATTTACAGTTGTTTTGGCTAATCAATATGACAGCAAACAATAGTTTCATAAGTTTTATTTTTTTCGGGTCCAGTATACTAAAAATTGTGCGTTTTCATTGGCTGCACAAGCTGGAGGTATTTTCTGTTCCTGCCCGTGGTCAGGTATCCTGACTTGAAGTGCATATCAAAGAAAAAAATCATTTTCAAAATCAATGCTCTTTAACTCCGATGAAGGACTAGCATCCAAAACATCAGTTTTTTCATCTTTTCACAGAGTATAATTTACCTTTTTATCATTACCGTTTCATTAGAAACACAGACACAGCTCACACTAGCTAGTTATCTCTCCATTTTCAAAATCACTTATATGGGAACAGTGCAGTATTTTTGTATCTTGAATTTTCATTTCGGAGATATGAACATTTGAAATAGAATTAAATTTAAGACTAACTTATTATACTAAATATGCATAATTTATATTTATATTTACATTTATATATTTGCAAATCATGTCCAACTGGGCCTGGTTGTATGAAGGATTGTATGAAGGATATCTATTGGATAAGTTATTGCTAATATATATCAAATTTCTCTACTGGATAAGATTTATCCATCAGCTAGTTCTATCCAACCTTTGCACAACTGTTTTTCTGTTTTATAAAACATGCAATCATAATCACTCTTGCTACAGTATTTGTTTTCAACCTACAAAACATTTCGAACAAAACAGATTTTCTACTCACAGGATCCCATAAAATTACTGTCTTGTCATTTGACCTAAGTAAATAAATGAAACAGAAAAATAATCATAACATAAATCAATATTTGTACCCACCAACTATATCAATAGGTGAATAATGTGAGAGACCCTGTATTGGGGTTTTCAAAATTGCACATTTTTGGTACATACGCAGATGCAAGAATTCTTCCATTGGCAGAGAATTTGCAGTCCAAAACTGGTCCCTGATGTCCATCCAATACACACCGAGCATCAATGTGGCAATCTTCAGAATAAGCTAAAAAAAAACAAAAAACAAACAAACAGGCTGAAATATTTTGCTCTTTGGAAATTTAGGGAGGAACAAGTGGTGTAATGACCTGGGGGTTGAGGGGGGGGGGGGGGGGGGGGGGGGGGGGGGGGGTACTACCACCCTTACTTGGATAGGGGTGTGCAGCAAGGACCTTAAAACCCTGACCCTATCTCAGACCTAAAATTTTGATTTTACATACCCTACCCCATACTCTAACAAAGAATTGTACACCCTATCCCAGACTAAACCCAGTTAGTCAATAGATTGCAATTAATATTTACTAACGTTTTTATTGTTTTTGTGCCGGCAGAAAGCGTAGCCTATTCGCCAGCAGACCAAAACGACCAAATCTTAACCCTATCCCAGACAAAAATGATATCCTATCCCAGACAAAATGTCAAACAATGATACCCTACCCCAGACCAAAAAGCTGAAAAACCATACCCTATAGGGTGGCACATACTCGAATAGCAAATATAGAGGAGTGCCCCCCCAGGGTATAACAATATGCCATGGACCTCTCACTCCTGTGGTCTTAGATTTGAATCCCATTCATGTTTTTCGAGGGTTTTTCTCCAGGTTCAGCAGTTTCCCTCTTCTAAATTCCAAATTGATCATAGGATGAGGGACACAGTTTTGTAAGTCACTTTCAATTAAGTTTTACCCTTTTAATATAAAACAAAGACAATATGGAAAAATTCCATAATTATTGTTTCTTTTATCAATGCTATATTATAATAACATACCTGATGAAGTGAATATATTCCAAAGTCTCACGAGGTTATCATTCCCAGCTGTCGCCAGCAGAAACTGAGGAGCACAGCCACTAGTGTCTGTTACAGTTGGAACTAAGTTAGCAAATAACAGCACGAGAATTATATTTAAATCTATATTATCGGTATCTTAGCAATAATATGACTCTGGCTTATTCAGGGCTTAAAATTATGATCAATAAGTTGTCAGTGATGATGACAAATTAGTTTTAGCACAGTCAATTCATTTCCGGCTAAAAGTTACTGGTCAAAATGACCAGCAATGCAAAGATTTGACTGAACGAGTTCCAATTCTGGACAGACATTGTCCGATGTTGAGCCATTATTTTAAGCCCTGTTATTATTCCAAGAGAAATTGCACAGACATTTTGGTTTGATCTCAGACTTCTTTTTAGAATTTATGTCATTTCTTTTGTATTTTCCTGTTAGTCTTACATTCTAGATTATTCTGAAAGAGGTTGACAGACTATTAAGCATGGTCTATAACATGAGGACAAATAGTAAAGCAAATTCTTAAGTTTTTGTTGAAATGCTTTAACATTGCAGACAGGTTATCATGATCAAGTGCTGTCTTCTCACAACAATAACTCATTTCTATGCTTCGCGTATCTATGAGTTAAAAAAGGCCAACGATAGACCTTTCCCAATATCGCCTTGATGACAACGAAACAATGGTTTGAAGTTGAGACTGAACTTGATTATTTTTTCATCACGTCCAACCTCAAACTGCTTATGAAAAATCCCTTAGCATTGAATTTCATTATTCTAAAGATTAACATCAGTATAGTTATTAATTTAATGCTTTATGTTTAACGTAACTCTATTTTTGCAGCCTTTCTATGCAGGAATTTGGTAAGCTCGTGCTCATCGTGATGATGTCATTCCAATGTTTTGATAAGCACAATATCATGAAAACTTTTTTGATCTCTTATAGCTCTAAAATGAAGTCAGGGACCCCCCTTTTTTATTTCATCTTTTGAAGGTACTTTATAATACCAATCATTAGAGGAAAAATTTTAAAAATCTGATGGGAACAAATCAAAATTACATATTTTGTGTATACATATAATTAGAATATAATTTCACTTAACGTGAAGGCTTCAAGTCCACACTCGTAACACAATAACATTCTATATTTCTAATTTCAAATGCTAACTAATAATTAGGTTATTTTCTAGACTTCTATGAAAAATGGGTTGTGATTTTGTTCACACGTTTTTACCAAAAATGGGTTAACTTCAACTGTCATGTGTCACCCTCTTTGAATAAAGTCCATTATTTTAATAATAATAATTATAATATTTAGTTGGAAATGATTAGCTTACTTATAGGCTGAGAGCCAGAGTCTGAGGTGGGAATAAGATCTGAAGCTGAGATACAGATTCCTGATTGGGATTCAGTATAATCATGGTCTGAAAACATCACAAGAAAACACATATTTCAAGAATTTTAATTGTAATGCTTGTGTTAGTAGGCAGTGTGAGGATTATTTAGATCAAATTAGTGTGAGGATTATTTAGATTAAATATTTTACAGGATGTTACAGGGTTCAAGCTACATTTTCATTTCAAAATTCAAGGACTTTTTAAGCACTTTTCAAGCATAAAAATTTGATTTTCAAGGATAAAGTTTTTTGTATTAGAACGTGGTTTAAACATTGATTCAATGTTACAGTGCAGCTCATTCAGCCGGGGCCACGTCCACCAATAAAAATGATCATGACATGCAACCAACCAGTAAACAAGCAACCAGAAACTCTTCAATCATTTTTTATCATTATTTATTTCAAAAGGAAAGTTAGAAATAGCATTAAGTTTGAATTAAATTCAAGGAGTATTCCAGGAGTTTTGGTGTTTTCCCCTATTTTCAAGGGCTTTTCAAGGATTTCAAGGAGTAGCACGAACCCTGATGTTAATTAACAATTATTCACCAAAGGGGAATTGATTTTCTGCAAATATTTACCCAGGGATCAGTTTTCGAGCAGTGAATTAGTTACAGTTGAATTAAGAAAAGGGAGGAAAAACCAGAGGCCCAGAAAATCCTTGGAGTCAGGAAGAGAACCAATCAACACAAATCACGATTAAACAACTGGGATAAATTGAACCCTGGACCTCAGAGATGAGAGGCGAGCATGCCATCCTGACTCCTCACAGCAAAGCAACGTGCATAAACAAACAGCATGCCTGCAATCCTATATTCACCTGTACTAGGTGATTATCAAAAAGTAGTCCAAATAGTCCAAAATTCTCAACCAATGAGCTGGCACAATTTTCTATAATCACCTGGGTAATGATACTAAATAGTGTTAGAATGGGTGAATGGTTAAAATGGCAGATCATATAACTAAATCTGAACCACATCCTTCAGCTCTGCAGATAAATTTTTAAAATACCATTTTATATTGATAAATCTATGAATCTTATTTGTAACAATATTTAAACATACAGCCAAGATGAAAATTCTTGTAAACCTGAGGTTACAATCACACAGATGTGAAAATTAAAAACGCAAAGTGACTTGAGAGGAAACAATTGTTTTCAATGGGGGTTCTATAAATACAATTATTAGCGTCAGCATATGGAATTGGTAGAAGATATTAGCATTTTGGTTGCAACATTTTAAGCATGAGATATCATGATATTTTACCAGAGCAGATTTTATAAAAAAATATAAATTCATCCTTAAAATATTAGACATCTTGATACATATTTCTGATTAAGATTTTCAAATTGAAATTTATATTTTTAATGTGTTATTTTTTCTTTTGAAATGCAATTTGAATAATTAGCGCATTGAGTACCCTGTACATGTTTTATTTTTATTTAAACACACGCAATGCTCTTCATTTTAAAGTTCTAAAATTGTCAAGATAAAAAAGAAAACATTATAATTCCTTAAAATAAAATTTGCCATGGAGGAATCAAGTCCTGATGTAAAAGAAGGTTTAATACTGTACGTATTCTTATTATGTAACGATATTTTTTGCGACTCAAAAGTGCTCAAAATATATTGTGCAATAAAAAAGATAAAAGATCAATACTTTGATCTTAGATAATCTTCTTTGCTATTGGTGTTACTGTAAATCGGAATATATTACCACAGATCTGTAGGATATTTTAGAATTTTGAAGTCTCTTCCAGATTAATAATTTGTCAACACGAAACAGCTGCAAATATTGTACTGTAACTTAGGAAAATACAGTAATCGCAACTGACAAATAGGATTGTATTTAATACTTTAAAAGTAGCTTTTTTCCCTTCTTATTATTAAATTACCTGCAGATCCAAAGGTAGGAGAAAAACTACAGGCTGTAACGCCAAGGTCGTGTGCGTCTCCCAAATACTTCAGAAGGTTGCCTTTGTGTACATCAAATATTGACAAATTGCCGTTACTCGTCCCTATTACGACTTGAAGTCCATCTGGTGTAAAAACACATGCATTAACAGTACTTTCTATCTTATCCACACATCGTACCAGCTTCCTAGTCGACACGTCCCAGATACAAAACGTTTCATCGGCAGATCCAGAAATCAAAAATTGCGAGTTCGGAGAGAAGGAACAAGTTCGGACTCCTCCTCGATGGCCCTCCAGTACAGCTAAGCATTCCCCAGTATTAACATCCCATAAGATAACTTTACAATCACTAGATGCAGTAGCTAAAATAGTCCCGAATGGGGAAAAACAACACGAGTTTACTTGGTAGTCGTGCCGCTCAAGAGGAGACTGTGGCAGTTCTTCTCCACTTTCGATATCCCAAAGTCGAGACGTTTTGTCCCCTGAACACGAAGCTAAAACGCGGCTGTTTGCCGAAAAACAGCAACCATTCACGTCTCTATTATGCCTCGAAAGCGTATATATTATTTCGGCCATTTGCAGATGAATGTTTTTGCCTAGTTTTGCCGTTTTATTTAAGGTTTTTAAGATTATTTATAGTGCAGTACGTAATCATGTTCACAAGACACCCACCATCTTGTTTCTACACGTTCGGTCCCTTGCGGACAAAACTGGTAGAGCGAGACTTTTGAAGACCTGGGAATATGCTATTTTTAGATTACGATTTAGAAGATGACGTCATATAGCCTTAGGACTAAATATTTTATTCTTTTTAGTGTTTTCTATTTAAAAAATCCTCTTTCCCCTGTCTTATTACTTTTTAAAGAAAGTCTTTAGTTATTTTGCCTTTTCGTTAGCAAATTTCGTTAAATTTTTGACATCAATGATAAGTCATTTATCGGGTAAGGAATAATATATATATATATATATTTAATCAAAAAACAATTTTTTTTACATCTATGGATTCGGATAACGGTAAGAAAAACATTTTATAACAAAATGTTTCATGCCTCTATTTTTATCAGTGAAAACCATCCCCATAGCACACAGTTTTACTTATTCAGTTATAGTTGAAAACAATAAACTTGCGTTCGTAGCTTGGCGTTTTACGGGATAAAAGCCATCACGTGAGGGATGACGGAAATTCTCAAATGGTTTATGAGGATTCGAGTAGCATGGTCCAGAATACTATATGTTTGAGTATTGAGTATAGTATTATAGGATGAGGCCACGACGACGTTTCAAAACAAGTGTGAATTGGATCGATCCGCGTTCGTTATCATTAATTCATAATGTTTAGAGTTTGTGAGCTTGGGGTAAACAGATTAATATAATGGACAGGGGGGTAGGGACTATGACGTAACTCTGTGTACGCCATTTTGGTCAAGGCCAGCGAAAAAGATGGCATACTCATTTTAGTTTAGGCCAATTTTAGTTATTTTTCCTTAAGTTTATAAAAAAGGATGGATATACTCAGCAAGCTTGATTTTTTGGTGCACCCTCCCCCCTTCACACACAGATAATACACCATGCAATCGAGTTCAATAAATTCTCAGTGTATTTTTACTCCATAATCTCTCGTTGTCCATGCCATTGTTAAAATCCCTCAAATTCATAGATAATTGAAATTTTCGAGTTAAAATAAAGGTGTCAGGAAAGCGTGCTACTTTGAGCATGCCAACTATAGCTACGTGACACTTGTCAGGCTTTATCCCCGGCTGTACGTAGGCTAGCAAACAGTCTATTGGTTATGTGACGTCACGTCACATTCCTCGTGAACGCAATATCGCGGCTGTTGGGGTTTCTTACTGGTTTACAGTGTAACTTTATTTTTATCTCAGTTTCAAATGATTATAGGAAGTTAGTTTGCTTCAAAGGATTGCATTCAACATGCGACTAACTAGAAGATTATTACGAGACATCGGGAGTCTCATTCAACGCTACAGCCGTTACCAACAGTCTATTTTATCTATCGAACAGTATACTTCCTTCGGTGAGTAAAACTTGTAAGACCTCTTTTTAATAGCTTCTAATTTGGTATCAAGACCTTTATATCATATGTTTACTCGAAGACTTTACCAAGAAACGGCTGAAGTAGAACTGAAATGCTTAGTTTCTTTGTGTTGTCTTTTATGAGATGACGAAATTTAGGCGCCAATCTTTAAGCTTACTGAGTTCACTTACTGCGTAGTTTTATTTAAGGTTAAGCATTAACTCATAACCCTCTACTGGATGCAATACTGCTTATATATTCTATCGTATTGTATTACAATATTCATCAAAATAAAGCAACCGCAACAACTTGAAATCTAAAGGTTTTCAATCAAATTTTGACGATTTAGTTCACCCATTTAACAAAAAAGGATCCCAGGGAATAAAAGTAGTTTAAATTTGTCTAGATCGAAATTATTTTTTATTATTTTAGTAATAAAAACGTATAAAAATCGCAAATGAATGACCAAAAAGGCGTAGGGTTAAAGTCCAGTTTATATTCATTGTGACGTAGCCAACCCGCCCCCCCAAACGCCTTCGAGATTTATAAATTTTCGTATTTGTAAAATTTTATAAAGCTTTTGAAATCTTTAAGTGTCTTTTACATAACAACTATGAAATAAAACTATCTTACAATTGGTTTTTTTTTTCTAGAATCATTCGTGTAAAAATACACGTTTTGTTTGCTTCCTTTGCGTGTGGACTCATTTCAACTCTCGGAAATGATGACGCAGAAGTGAAATCTTTTCAACTGTATTTATGAACTAAAAAAATAATATATAACCATTGACTTTTTTTACGTAATTTTCTTTGTCTTCGATTGCTTTATTTATCAAGACTGGATTATTGTAGTATTGAATTACTATTTTTCTAAAGTGGTAGTAGCTAGACAGACATTGCCAAAGAGGAAAAAAAATTAAGCTTATTCCTGTTATACCTGTAGATCTTTATATTCTTTCTGATTGCTTTAATGTCTGGGGCTATTTCCATACCCACGTTGAAAGATTGGGAGAGACTCAAGACTAAAAGAATTACCGTAATATTACATGTAAAACAGTTAGGACACTCGAATCATGAACAACTTGAGTTTTTTTTTCCTTTTGGGGAGGATAGGGGGGTCATTATTTTTTGAACTTCCTGCCATTCAAACACTGTAAAATGGAGCATTGAGTTCAAATACACCAAGAAGTGATAAATATAAATATTATTTCCAGTCCATTGCCTCATGGGATGTTTTACATTATGAAGTTTTATAGCCAGCGTGCAGCAGAACTAACTAACTATACGAGAGAAGAGTCTGGCTGCACGCAGGCTAGGATTTTTGAAAATTCATTAATTTTTTGTACATTTTAAGTTGCAGTAATATAGGCAACAAGACCAAAGTATTTTTTGCATTAAAGAAAGTTTCGGCCCCCCCCCCCCCCCATGTTTTATGATATGCAATTTGTTTAGTGGGTCAAAATAGACACAAATAATAAAAAAATCTTCAAATTTGTTTCTGATCTGTTTTCAGGTAAAAGAGCCAAGACCCTAGATTCCTACAAATTTGGTAAACATGAGCTCCCCATACGACTCGCACATATCATTAGAGAAATTGACCTTTTACCCAAGAATCTCCTTAAAACGCCATCTGTAGAGTTGGTAAGAAGTTGGTAAGTAACAATAGCCATGTTATTTTATTATATTTTTCTGATAAAATTAATTTTGTATTTATCATTTGGGATGATAAAATATTATTCATCGTAGAAACGTAATGAATGAATCTTATGCGTTTGTCTCACGATTAACAATAAAAAACGTTTTAGTATTGCTACTGCTCTGGCAGACTTTGGAAAACCTCATAGTCATCCCTTGTGAAGTGATTATCGTCTCATAATCACTGGTCGCTCAACCAATCACAGTATGAGAAACTCTATATTGCATTCTAAAATTATACTAAAATGAAATATTTCATGTTATCCCAGGTATGTACAGAGTTTTTCAGAATTGGTTGAGTTTGAAGATGAAAACGGCGATGAAGAAACAGCAAATAGGTAAACATTTTTCAAGAATAATTATAATCAATTTTTATTTTTTACATGAAGATAAAGAAAACTCCAGGGAGGAGGGGGCAGGGGACAGGGAGGGACTAAGGGTGAGAGGTAACAACCTTGAGAAAAAATAATTATTATTATTTAAAAAAACTATTTTCTTAAAATGACTAGTACAGTATAAAACAGTGTGTTGAAATTGTAAGATTTCAACTATTAAAAATTGCTTACTCAAAGAACCATTCTGCTTTTAGATTTACAGATATGCTAGCAAAAATTAAGCAAAGACATAATAATGTTGTAGAAACTATGGCACAGGTAATTAAAACATTGCTTGAATTTATTGAGGTGCTTATAACCAGATAAGGATTCAGGGAAGTTCTATATGAGGGAGAGGCTAATTCGCCTTTTCCATATCGAGCAGGGTACTGGGCTCGAGTTCGGACCGCAAAGCATGCATGGATTGTTTGGAAGGACAGAAATTTTAGTAATGGCGTCCATCGCGACTGAAAATTGCATGTGATTGTGTGGATTATGCCGCATAAATCCAACTGTTGTGTTCCTGGATGCCTAAACAGCTTCAGAAATGCTCCAGAATTACATTATTACA